TAAAGAAGCTTGGTGTGGCAGCATTGCTTTGGGGCTGCCTGGACATTAACCTCCTCTCACCTCATTTGTCCCTCTCCTATCTGTGTTTCCTCTATGGAGATGACCAAACACTTAAGAGTTATATGGATTAATATAGGCTAGTTATTTTTAGTGGCAGTTATAATCTACATTTTTTAGCAGTTGCAAAGTCCTCAACAATTTGCTGGTCAGTGCTGCACCCATCAACGTGACCACGGCCTGACTGAAATCGAGACGTGACGTCTGACGTTCAACATGAAAGCAGCTGTCAGTCATCAGCTCCTGATGAGGCTGCAAGGACAGACAGACAGACTAATGGTCTTCCCCAGGCTGACCAACAGCAGAAATGTGCTGGACAACAATAGTTTTCGTGTAGGCCTTATGCACATAATCAGAACAGACACCAGGAAAAAGGTTTGCAACAGATAATAACTGGGGACTTGGGGGATTTGAACAGTAGTGTGAGGAGATCATGCTGCACTCAACACGCCAGAGAAAATAAACCTGAAGCAAAAACAGGTGATATGCAGCTCACACGCACATGTCAGGGAGACATTTCATAAACTGGAGTTCTATCTGTTGCATCAAAAATGTGTCTAAAAACGCGCTCCTTCTGAAGACTCCCAATAACATAATAACAGCAGCAGCTGCTGCAGTGTCAGCAGGCCACAGGTAGGAGGCGCAAAGTCTGAGAGTAGGTATAGTTAAGTTCTGACTGGATAGGTTGCTTGTCATTGCCGTCCAGAACCATTGGACTGTTACAAAAATTATTCATATCAAGAGTTTTTGACCTTCCAACTCTTATTATACAATGGAAAAGTTGGGGACATGGTTAGAAGAAACCAATGCTGTTTAATGGCAGTAGACAGATTGTGAATCACGGTCCTGGTGTCTATATAAGACACCATCCAGCATTCATTATAACAACATCAGACTACTTCCACTTTTGCTTCCAAGAGAGAATACTCAACATTGAGATGCTGCTTGTTAGGAAATGCAATTGAGGGCCATTTAAATTTTGAGCCAAAGACCAAGTCTGTTTGTATATGTGGGAGTAGAAAGCAGCAGAGAAACTGAATACAAAACTGTAAAAGGAACTGCTAAAAAAACAACTGTAGAACCAAAGTGATACACAGTACAGTACACCCTTGATATGCTACCTTCAGCTTTTAGAACAGATTTAAGGATCTTTTGAAGGAAAGCAATGCAGAATCTTACTCTGCACAAATTAAACTTGAATACATTAGTGGCCTTTCAGACTTCAAGTGTCATCAGCTATGTACAAGATCTGTCATGCAAGTCTAATCTATGCATTGGCACTTGAATAGAGAGAAGGTTGTATCTGCTTCCATTCTTTGAAAAATTGTGACTAATAGCTGTCAAATCCAGACAAGAACAGGCAATCTTAAATGAAGTCAGTATCAATGTCACTTCTGAAATGGTCTAATAACAGAAAGCAACCATGTGCAGAGATAAATCACCTCTATGACACTGCAATAATCACACAATGCAGTGACAAAAAAGCATTCCACAGAATAAATATATCGTTTTCTACTAAATTCTTTCGTTGGAGTTGTACAAGAGGATTTGTCTGACTGCTAAGACTTTGTGCTGAGCATTTACTGTACCATTCTCAGGTGGAAATAGGAGATTATGGCGAGTAAAAATTCAGCTTTTTGCATAGTAGAGTGAATTTCTGTGTTACATCATGAAAGTGAGACCATGACCAGGCAGAGGGAAACTTTTCCAGACTGGAAGAAAGGTGTCCAAATGCACCTGATGCTGGTGTCTTTTGAAATCCTTTCCCTGTTGTACTAGACTTTCTCTCACTCCCTCTCTCTTTATATACACTGGCTTCAGAACGTATTAAAACCTCTTCATATTCTGAACACTATGTTGTTATAAATTTCATTTTAAAGGGATAAACTTACCATTTTGCACATCAATCTACTTTCAGCATGGAAAATATTGCTTTTTTGTTTAATCCAAAAGTGAAATCTTTCATTTACAAAAGTATTCAGACCCTTAATTCATTTCACAGTTTAAAGCCCCTTTGGCAGCAATTACAGCTTCGAGTACAGGTTTTGCACACCTGGATATGGGCAGCTTATCCCATTCTTCAAGCTCTGACAGATTTAATGGGAAGACTGTAAACGGTCATCTTCAGTTCTTTCCACAGATGTGCTGTGGGGTCTAAGTCTGGACTTTGGCCAGGCCACTCAAGGACAGTAAGGGACTTTTGCCAAAGCCCCAGTGTTGTCTTGGCAGAGTGTTTCGGGTCATTATTGAGTTGAAAGGTGAACCACTGCCCCAGTCTCAGATCATGTGCACTTTGCAGCACTCTGGGTTCTATACAGCTACTCTACCATAAAGGCCTGATTGATGGAGAGCTGCCAAGATGGCCGTCCTTCTGGTAGATTCTTCCATCTCTGCAAAGGACTCCTGAACCTCTGTTAAAGTGGCCACTGAATTCTTGGTCACCTCCCTGACCAACACCCTTCTTGCTTAGTCACTCAGTTTGGCAGGAGGGTTCCACACTTCTTCCTTTTCACAAGGTTTGAGGCCACAGAACTTTAAAGATGGATGTATACCCTTTCCTTAATCTATACACATTTCATTTCAGAGATATTTTGTACTTCAAGCTGATTTTTGTCCCACCCCACAATATGAACAGTGGGACCTTTACAGTATATATACACAAGTGTATGACCACAATTTGAAGTAAATGATATGTGCAACACAATAAAGTGTGCAAAAAGGGAAAGGGTCTGAATACTGAAGCCAAACCTTCATGTCTGTTTGTTTATGCATTAATGTTCCCATGGCTGTTTGCTTGTAAGTGTGTACATCATTCCACTGTCATGATGCGTACTCTCCCAAAGGAATAGTCAGTTTGCCTAGATAAATGTTCCTCGGTTGGGCAGCTAAACCACAAATGAGAAGAGAGAGAGAAACAAGGAAAAAGGAGAAAGTACAAAGAGGCAAGAATCTACATGAGCTGAACCAAAGAAAAGCAGCAGGACAAACATGAGAAGATGAGAAAAAAGGGAATGATTAAACTAGGGTTATTACAAAAGGATGGGAATTGTGAAGTATTCCAGTTTAAAATTATGTTGTAGACAATGTGTGAAATACAGGGGATCTCAGGGGCCTCGCTTCACAGCTCGGACCCCTTGCCAATCTCAAAACGAAATCTTAGGGGTGTCTCAGAAATGTGCAAAATTATTTTCTTTTTATCTACACAATACAATTTATTTGCATGTAATTTCATAGTTAAATGTTTTAAAAAGTAATAAAATAAAAATATAGGCCTATTGTTTTCACTGTGTTTATGGTAGGCTGTTGTACTAAAAGCGATCCAAAAACTGATTGTGTTCCACGGGAGCACACAGACTGTTAAAGACTTAAGAAACTTCATCTCCACCTACAGCTGCTTTTATCAGGATCAAACCAGCATAAACACAAAAACACACACAACTTAGGCCGACATTCTGTGGTAGTAGCAAAGGTACAGTATTGTCTTTGTGAAACCTGATCGTTTGAGGAAATTGTAACTGGATGAGCGACAGCACAAGGCCCGACTGACGTTAATTTCTGTCAATAATGCCTTAACATCACTCTTATTTAACTTGGCTCTGGAGCTGCTTTCATATGTTATTTTGCTGATTTGGTGGATTTAGTGCTGGCTGGACCGCACAGCAGCATTCACTGCAAAGGTATTCAGCCCCCCCCTCCGGTGAAAAGGAGACCCCCTGAAATGCACAATGTAATTTGCACACTGGTTGAAGGTGTGATTTATGGCCACCGCTTCCTTTGTGTTGCTGAACATTCAGACAGGGATATCTGCAGCAGGAGTAGCAGCAGAGCAGACAGGGCAGATAGATGCCAGCTGTATTGTTCAGACCTGGGGTAAAAGAAGACAGGCCCCAGGACACCGTCAATGTGTAATTAAGCCAACTAGAGCCAGGTAACTCTTCCTACTTCTACTCACTCCCAATTTCTTACTCTGGTTCTTATTCCAGCTGCACCACTGCAGCTGGAATAAAGACAAGCCTGACCAGACATTAAATGTTAAATCTAACTTCAAATTCTTTATCCTGAGTAGAAGTGCTGATAAGAGTTGGCAGCTGTCTCCTGTCCTTATGTAATAATGCACTGAGCCATTTGCCCGGTCACTCCAGTCTGGTCTGGTCGGACCAATAACAGATGGCTGGAAATAAAAATGTGTAGCACCAAGTTCATCTCGACACATTTACTATCACAGCATCAAGAGGTAGTTTAATTACACAGTGTGTTTAAAATTCTA